CCCCCCCCCCCCCCCGAAGAGCTCCGATCCGGATGCGCGCGGCGACCTGGGGGAAAGTCCAACCGCCCGGTGGTCCGATTAGCATCACCTTTCGCTCATTGATAACAACACCCTTCCGGGTAAGCTTCAGGGACCTTCGGTCCTTCTTTGGAGGAAAATGTGCTTAAAATACTCCCCCCTTATTGCCACATATCCCCCGGCATTCACATATGTTGGCGCCTACCTCTGCGCCCTGGAGTTCCTGTCCCCCCTCACAGTGTGCCATCCTCCCCGGCGCGAAGCGCTCTGGCGGCCCAACGACGGCGCGGTGCCTGCGGGGCCGACAAGGAACAGCCCCGCTTTGCGACCGGGGGCGAGGGTGCCTGCCCACCCGCGAGGAGCCATCCAGCCAGGAAGAATGCCTGCGCGATATCACGCGGGGCATCGTGAAACGGCATTCCCTTCGGAACACATCGGAATATACCACCGGAGAATGTTTCAACGCCTGAGCATGTGGTCTCCAGCGGCAGATTGGCTTCGAGCCCCATGGCCATACAGCATGCATGGCCGTTCTGCATTGCTCGTGGGTGGTGCCCAAGCAGAACTTCAAGCAGTCGGGCTGAAGATGCAGCACATTCAAGTTGAGGCCCCGGTCTGCTTTTTTCGCCCCGGGGGAGAGAGAGAGAGGAGGGGTGGACGGCCTTGGGAAACTGTTGACCTGGCGAACACAGCGGCCCCTCTGAGTTGAGAGGCGTACGCGAAGGCGCGCCCCGGCACTTGTGCACCTGTATGTGTGATTCTTTGGCGCGCTGCAGGTCCGGGAGCGTGGGAGCCCTGGAGCCCGAGCCGGGTCGTACGATCTGGCGAGCGCCGCTCGGGCGAGGCGGCCCCCGCTCCGCTTGCGTTGGGCGCCCGTGGGCCCGTGGCGGTCTGGACGGGGGGGGGGGGGGGGGCGCGGCGCGGGCGAAGGCGAGGGGTGAGGGGGGGGGGGGGGGGGGGGGGGGGGGAGGGGGGGGGGGGGGGGGGGGGGGAGGGGGGGGGGGGGGAGGAAAGAAAAAAAAAAAAAAAAAGCGCCGGGGACACCGGGGGGGGGGGGGGCAGGGGCGCGGGCATAGCCTGGCATGTAGACACCCCCGGCCAGTGGGGGGGGGGGGGGACATCGTCCCCGAGACTCGCACGCAAGACAACTGCGCGGCAGGCCACCGAAAAAACAGCTGATGGTTCCTGATCGCTTGTCTACGGGGCCTGGCGCCGCAGCCTCAAACGAAAGGCCCTCTCGCGGGGGTTGAAGGACCACGCCGGCTCTCCGTTCGCAGATGGGCGCGTAATATCCTATGGGCTCTCGCCTCCCTCCCCCCCCCCCCCCCCCCGCCACCACCACGTATCCGGCTGCCCCTTCTCATCGAACGCCGTCGCAGGGCGGCCCCTCGGGCTCTGAACGTCGACCGCGCATCTCGGGTCAGCGGTCACAGATTACCTTTCCTCCGGGCCCGGGAAATGCGGGGGGGCTAGGGTGCGGGGAAGGCGCGGGGGGCCTGCCTCCGCCGCCGCGCCCTGCCACAGTGGCTCGGCCCCGCATCAGCGAGTGAAGACTGCGCCAAGGGCCTCCCCCCCCCCGCCCCGCCCCGGGTAGCGCATGGACCAATCAGGAAAGACACACGTCTCCGACCGGCACCTGGCAAGGTACACCCCCGGGTCAGCGTCAGCTACTCACGCCCGCCACCCCTCGCTTCCCCCTCGCCCCTTGCCCCTCTTTTCCCCAGCCACGCGGAGAGATCGACCAAAGTAGTGCTTACGGGTTGAATTTCCGGGGGGGGGGGGGG